CCTACTCCTCCGCCATCTTGCTCCGCCTCCATCCTATTTTCTTAAGATTTCTACATAAGTGAGAGAGAGAGGGGGAATGAGCTGGGGGGAGGGACAGAGTGAGAAGCAGCCTCCCCTCTGAGTAGGGAGCCTGATGCGGGGCTCCTTCCCAAGACCCTGGAATCATGATCTGAGCTTCCCAGGACCCTGGGATCATGACCTGAGCCTCCTAGGGCCCTGGGATCATGACCTGAGCTAAAGGCAGATGCTTAAATGACTTGAGCCACCCAGCACTCCATAAAGACAGTTTTGAAACATGGAGTTGGGGCAGTTTGGGGGCTGTGAGTGCTGGCTTCTGGGGAGCAGAGGAATCGTCCCACTAGAAGTCACAGTACTTCATCCATCCTGTGTTTTCAGCATTCGGTAAATGTTTTCCAAATTGTTTTTGCTTAACATCAACTCTTTAAGTAGAAATAGATCAATAATTCCTTGTTTCTGTTCATACGTCTGAGGAAAAAATTGTGTTTCCCCTAGAAATGTTAATACCATGAAAAACATTTTCTATGAGCTAAAAAGGTGTAGAAATGAAATTTTTTCTTGATGTCTTTGTTAACTCCTGGGGGAAATTACTTTTAAAGGACTCAAACATTATTTTTAGAGTTTCCATATGTCAGGATTGAAAAATGCTTCCAAAGAAATAGTATTTGGGGTCTTTTTGCTTGCATTATTTTATATTTAATATCTGGTGTTTAGAAGCATAATGCCTAATTTCACTCCAACAGGCTCCTTTATTTCATACCAGTTTATCTTCTGTGTCTCGGCTTCTTGCATTTAGTTTCTACTTCTATTTTTTCATCTGCATCAGTTCACGTCTAACCAAACTCTGACATTTACGGTGCTGTTCATTTCTCATACCACAATGCACTAACGATTTCTTTTTACTAGACAGTTTGCACTGAAATTGCCACCTGATTATCTTTTGTCCCTTGCAACTGTGTAGTTGGGTTACTTGTAGGTCTATGTGTCGAGATTTTTAATTGGTCTTGATGTGGTCCATTAATCATTTGATACATTTATAAAAGAGGCTTCTTTTACTTGCCTAGTGCATAGACTAAATATTTTAAGATGTACCCTTTCTGTGTCATCTTAACAGATGTTCTATCAATTTTCTTTCATTCTTTTAATGTCCATTTAAGCCAAGAACACAAATCCCCACAAATTAATTTCCTTCCCTACACTGCCTGAACAAATGATAAAATGAAAAAGAAACAGCTTCAATGAACGGTGTGAATCACAGCACGAAGCACTTAGATGAAAGGGCCTATAGTTACTAACGATGTAAATAAAAATGCTTTTTTGTATGAGGCATCACAGTCATGGGTTTTGTAAAATCCACCAGAAGGGTGGATTTTAATAAAATGGCAAAACACTTCATCTAAGCATGTGGTGTGTTAGTATTGGAGGTGGGACTGATGGCCACCATTGTAAGTGAAAGGCCCAGAAATGTCTACTCATTATTTCTGTTGAATTCCTCCAGCCTACACTACCTGCCTTCGTGATGTTTAGCTCTTCTGGGTTTTCTTCCCATTAGATCAAAATTTCTCCATTGATCTAGCAAATTGGTCATTTTACTGCTAGGAAAAAATGTAGAACGTCTTTCCTATTTTTTGGTAGGATGTAGTCTTGGATTAAAATAATTTTTCTATGAGAACATATAAAATATAACAAAGCTACATATGAAATATAACAATGCCAGACATGGCTAGTTGTGAGTTTTAGTTACTATTAAAAAGTTGAAGTCAAATTTCCCAACAGTTGTGCCTTGGCTAAATGACTTGCCATAACTACTACCTACTTTTGCTTTATAGCTCTTCTACTGTGTCATGAATCCATTTTTTAACATAGAAATATGTTAAAGTTGTTCCTAGCAATTTAAAAAGTTCATGTAATGTTCCAGAAAGAACATCATGCTGGGGGTCGAGTGGCCTAAATTCTCATTGTATTTCTGAGAGTTATTCAGTTCAACCTCCCCCAGCCCGAATTTCTTCATCTGTGGAACATGGAGCCTGAGCCTGCTGATCTGTGGGATATTTTCCACCCTGACTTTCCTAAGACTCTATTACAAATATCTTGCAGACATTCCTGAGGGCTTTCATGAATTTTATGACCTTATAATTTATCTTTTACCACTGTTTAGCCTAGTGCCTTACTTAGAATTGAAGACTTTTAAAAGTCTTTATTACTTAAACACAATGTGAAAGCTGAAACAAATACAGTTTGCCAAATATTATTTATTTTATCATGATTCTTGTAAATCCAGATGGTGAGGAAGAGCAACGAGAGTTAAGTACAAAGATCTAACAGCAAGGAGAAGAGGTCAGGTCATCTCATAAAGTTGTTTGGAAAATGTCATCACTTAGGTATTATTGGAGATCATTGTGCCCTTAAATAGTTATATAGATTTCTTTTTCATATTAATAAAAGAGTCATGAATAGACTGTATAACTGTATATGCATCTATTAGCTATTTACTATTTAAACAAATTCAACTGTAAAAGATCTGTACTTTTGGAAATCTTGACCTAAATGTGAGTTTTTAAAAGGTATCATAGCATGTGTTATAGGAAACATGTTTTTCCTGAAATTAACAGAGCAACTTGTAGCAAATTTTATGATGTGTATGAAAGTTTGGAGGAAACAATTTTGTGAATGGTTCAAATACAATTTGTAGTTTTATATATGTCTGTTGCAGTTAGTAAATAACATATGAAGCAGACTCCATAAGGTTTAGAAATAATTCCTTCTTACTAACTACTACTTTTCTGCTTTGCAAACCAGCTATGTATATTTTTGGTTTCTTTGCAAGCAGGCACAAACATACACAAGCACCTCTACATTCTTAGTAGCTTTTGTGTAAATAATTGGAAACAAATTCTAATTAAGCAACATATTTAAACATATTTCCTTTTTTCCTTTACTATTAACAATTTTTAGAGTAATTTTTAATTTTGATATAATTTTTCATTCTCTTTAGCTCCTCCGCAATTCACAATAATCCCCAAGGATCAAGTGGTGCTAGAAGGACATACTGTAGAATTTCTCTGTGAAGCTGAAGGCAACCCACCTCCAATAATTGCCTGGACCAAAGCAGGTATTAGCATATGGACAAGTGATTGTGAAAAGAGATAAATACCTTCTTTATTATGACAGGATAAAAAACAGTTTAAACTAATTATCATAGGTATATTGTGGACATGAAAACATCACACAAAATGTAATCTTTGAATTAAATATGTCATCATAATTTCTCTTATATGTTAAGTTTCAACATTTGAATATGTGGCCTTCCTCAGATAATCTCTCTGGGACTCAATTTCTTCATCTATTTTTTTTTTTTTTAATTCATTCATTCTCCCACACCTCTCCTCTCTGGCAACTACCAGTTTGTTCAGTTTCTTGAGATTTATTTATTTATTTATTTATTTATTATTTATTTTAAAAGATTTTTTATTTATTTGTCAGAGAGAGAGAGAGCACAAGCAGGGTGTGTGGCAGGCAGAGGGAGAAGCAGACTCCCTGCTGAGCAAGGAGCCCGATGTGGAACTCCATCCCAGGACCCTGGGATCATGACCTGAGCTGGAGGCAGGCACTTAACTGACCGACCCACCCAGGTGTCTTAGTTTCTTGATTTTTAAAATAAAATTATTGGACAGTTAGTGGTTTTAAATATTTTTTAAAGTGGCAGAGTTCTCTTTTTGTACAAAGTGTAATTGTAAGTGCAGTGAAA